CCAGGGAATACTCACAGGGGGCCTCTGATCTGTGAGCAGCTCTGAGTCCGTCCAGAACTTCCTGCAGTCGATGATGAACACGGTGGGCACCCCCGAAGGACATGTCTCGTAAGCGTGGGCTGGAGGAGGATTGGGGGACATGAGCCTGATGAGGCGGCTCTCGTTCACCTCCTCAGCCCTTCCCAGGCAGAGCCCCAAGTGCCTCTGACTCTCCAGTCACCAAAACTTAGTGGTTCTAGGTCCCCTCTCCTGAGAGTACCTCTCCTTGCTGGTGGCAATGCGCGTCGATGACCTGGCCAGAACAGGGAGCTTGTTCCTGGTTCACAGGGAGAATATTTTCTCTGCCACCCATGGAATGGCTCACCCACCTGAAGGGCGCAGGTCTCCTGGTGGCAATCTGACACGGCAAAAAGAGCCCTGGGCTGGGAGGCTGTGGCCTGGTTCGTGCCCAGCCCCGAGCCTCAGTTTCTCCTCCTGTAAAATGAGGGTGTTGGACTTGATGATCTCCAAATTCCCTTTGACCTTGACGTTGTAGGGTAATTGGTCCATAGAGTGACTCTAGTGGTCACTCGGACAGCATTACTAGGATGCGCAGGCGATGCTCTAGAGAAGGTCCTGTCGAGCGCTTCCTGCTCCCTTCCCCACGGGACGCGCCAAGCCGTCCTTGCCTTCTTTTCGAATATCTGCTTGTCTGGGTGGCTTTGGAAGAAAAGAAAGCCGTGGGAGCTAGAATTAGCCTGGCTGGGTTTCTTCGCTTCCACCCTGGTCAGCAGAGAGCATCTCTCAGACCCTCTTTCTCCCCTCCCCCACAGCACGGAGTCCTTTGACCCCCTTCCCCCTACCTGCCATCAAAGGTCCCATGTTCTCTCTGAATAGCTTCTTGCATGAGTTGTCACTCATTCTCTGTTCCATGTGGTTCCCATGCTGGGAAGGAAGTGTGGGGACGCGGTAGGGGGCTTCAGATCCCGAGGACAGCAGGGAACATAAGGGCCCCCCACAGAGGTCTAGTTTCTGGTGGACGAGGAGAATAGAGCCTCTAAAAAGCAAATCAAACTTTCACAAGGAAGAGAAACTTATTGTGAGCATGTCTCTGTCCAGACCACTCGTTAGGCTCAAAGCATGTCTTCTTCCACACTCATGCTGTAATGCAAAAGGTTTTTTCCTACCATCTCAGTCCTGGGAGGTACCAGGCTTCAGGAAGGGTATGTGAAGACAATCCCTCCCTGCCATCTTGTCTAGATGGCACGAAGGAAAGCATAGGAAGACACCGCCATGTGCAAAGTCCCTGGGGTAGAAGGAATTGTGAGAGATTCAAGAAACTTAAAGGAGCCAGCACAGCACAGACAGCAGAGAAGAGAGAGGCAGAGACATCAGGTCAGGGGCCACATCGTGAGGGTGCCAAAAAGGCCTGGACTTTATTTTGACAGCCAGAAAAGTTGGCCAGGAGGCCAGGGCTGGCGCGGAGCCTGGCAGAAGGCTGCGCCTTCCCGTTTGGGAAGATTTAAGGAAGGGCACCATCTTCTGAGCCAGGTTCCTTCCAATCCTTCCTCTGTCCCCTCCAAGTGCTCCCTTAGGCCTGTTTCTCTCCCTCTCTTGGAGCACAAAGCAAGAGTGAGACTCCCAGAGCTGATGAGGAGTACCGACGGCGGCTGGCAGGCAGGGCCCCTGGCAGAGTCAGGTGGTTTCAGAGCCCTGAGTCAAGGCCACTTTGGGAATTCCAGGCCTTGGGGTATTAGCCTTCAGGGTCGTGGTGCTAGTCAGGAGCCTCACTCTACACAAGGGCCCTCCCTCAAGAGAGGCGGGTATCCTGACAGTATCAGGGTAAAGCGTAGCCCCAAGCAGCTCCTTCCCCAGACAGAAACTTCCACCATCACAAGGGGCAGTCACAGAGGTTGCTTCCAGTCTTGCCCCTTGTGGATCCCAGCCCAGCCAGGACTCCAGAAGGCCCCCAGGTCTCATTTCTGCTCCAGAAGAATACAGTGCCTCAGCTCCCTGCACCATCCTGGGAGAACATCTCAACCAGGACTATACTGGTGGGTGGCCTTACAAGGCACTGCACTTGGCAGAAGGTGCTGTGGGGTCCTAGAGCTCTCCAGAACAGCACCAACCTGCCGGACCCCTCTCCTGCTTCCTGTCTCCACAGTCTAAGTCCAGAAGCCCTGACCTAAGCTCACCTCAAAAGGCCAGAAAATCCTCTCAGCTTGGGTGGGGATCCAGAACCCATGACCTAGACCTTGGAAATTGATTTTCACAGAGGACTGGTTGCTTCCTCCAAGGAGTAAACAAGGGCTGCCCAAGGCCAAGGGCCTGTGGTAAAACATCCTGCCACCTGGGCCGCTGACCTAGACTAGACAGAGACTAGTGTTCGGGCGAGCCTCGGGCAGATGGGAAATGTAGGGTCCAAATCCTGGCTCCCCCCTCCACCAATTACTAGTTCTGCTACCCTCTGTGTCTCTGTTTCCTCGTGTGTTAAATGGGATGATAATAATCCCTTCCACATAGGGTTCTGGTAAAGACTAGGTCAACCTGGAGGGAGTATAACATGGTGGGCAAGAGCAGGGGCTGTGGAGCTGACCGCGTGGGCCCAGATCTCAGCTCCTTCACTGCCAGCTGTGTGATCTTGGGCATGCTACTTACTCTCTCTGCCTCCATTTCTTTGCCCATAAAAATGGAGATAACACAGCTGCCATGGAGATTAAAGGAGCAAGCACAATTACCTGGAACAGTGTCTGACATCCTAAGAGCTCTGTGAATGCCAGCTCTTGGCACACACAGGTGCCCAGTAAATGTGGGCTCCATTCTCTGGTTCTCTTTGACTTTCACATTACACATTTCCTACCCCAAAGTCCAAACACTCAAGATTCTCCCTGATCTCCCACCTATAAAAAATCTTATTAGCTTGTTCATACTCAAGTGTAAATGACTGATGGCGATTTAATTTACGCAGAGAAGCTTGCACACTTTCAGCAAAAGGAACAGTGTGCGGATGGTGGACTCTCAGACCACAAGCCAGGCAGGGGGACAGGGAGAGTTTGGCAAGTAGCTCTCCCAGGGTCCTTCAGTGATAACCTCTCGACAGGCCTGTACCTCTGGGATGGAAAGATCCAGCTCTGCTTCTGATTGCTGTGTGGCTGTCATCACTTCACTTGACCTATCTGAAGCTCAGCTTCTTCATCTGCCTAAGGGGATAATAACTTTTCTTCTGCCCTCCTTAAGGGGCCGACCAAAATCAAAGGCATCTGAAAATGGTCTATATTTGTCTCCCTGGATTGTGGTTATTTGTCCATGGATCTGTCTGCTCTCCTCAGCCTGGACAGGGAGCAGAGCAGGGCCTTTCCTGGGACCTCATGTAAGGCCAATCACATATAAGTGTTCAGTGAACATAAGCTGAACTGAAGTGCACGTCCTGATCTTGGGACATAATCCCGTGTACATGTTCTCAGCCCACAGTCACATTCTCACCCATTCCCCACCATGTCCCCAGTGGCCTGGGGAAGATGAGAATACCCCATTTAGCAGATGAAGCAACTGAGGCCTGGGGAGGTCAGGGCACTTGTCTGAGGTCACACAGCAAAGAATGGTCGAGCTAGGAATGGCACACGGACACGCGGCTGCAAAATCTATGCCCTTCCCACTCTGTGCTATCGTGTGCTTTCTGGATGTCTGCATTGGTCCTAGAAGGGAGGCAGTTTGCATCTCATAAGGATGTGAGACTTGCAGAAGGGGATAAAAATATAAGGACAACTCATGAGCTTCAGGCACAGTCTGCATCAGCCCCAGTTTTAGGTCACCAAACTCTCACGACCTCTCTACGGGGAGGTATTATTATCATCTCAACACTGAGGCTCAGAGAGGTAAAGGTATTTGACCGTACCTTGGGGAGCAGGACTTGAACCCGGGGCTGTCTGATGCTGATGGTTGTGCTCAAGGCAACGACCTTGTAATGCCCTCACACTCACACTCACACTCACACACTCACACACACCCGGCCTGGGAGGCAGGGGGACAGCAGTGCTCTGGATGTGAAAGCTGCTTCACTTCAGGATATCAGGGGGCGGTGGGTGGGAGATCTTCGTAGCAGGCAGTCTTGTCCACAGGATGCATATGTCCTCTGCAGGAGGGGAGTTTCCTGTCCTAGGATGGGTGCAAAAAGCCACAGAGGTTGTGGTCTAGCTGGGAAAGGGTATTTGGACTAGTGGCCATTCGGAACTGCCGCTGACACCCTCCTGGGGGAGCCATCTCGCCTTCCTTCTTTCTCCTTCAGTCCCCTTTGATCCATCTCATCTCTGCCTGTGCGCCTTGTGTGACAGGCAAGTTCAGTCACTTTTCTCCTCTCTGAGCCTCAGTTTACTCCTATGCAAAATGCGGTAATACTTGTATCTGCGTTTTAGGGTTACTGTGAGGATTAGATGAGATGAATTCGTAGAGAGCGGTGAGCACCAGTCAAAGGCAGGCCGAGAGCTCTCAGTTCCTCAGGCCGATTTTTGTTGTTATCCGCCCCCCGCCCCGCCCCACCCCGTCCTGGAAAGCAGGGCGCACGGAGACGGACTCCTGGGTTCTCGGTCTCCTCCTGCATAGCGAGCATCTCCTCTTTCCCATTCTGTCCCATCCCTCCCTAGTCTCCAAGTTTGCAGGGACAGGTGAACTCAGCCCAGGGTCCTCCTGCAGCGCCCAGACCCCCTCCCGTATGTGCGCCCCAGGTGAGCCAACCCCTTAACCTCTCTGCCTCAGTTTGGCTTCCACGAAAGAGGCCAGCCCCGCACTCCCCACCCACAGCCCCCTGCGTCCCTTGGGGCTGTCTCTGGGTCCTGTCGGCGAAAGCTGCCGAGCCTCGGAAGGTGCGCGGGCGCGAGCCCCGGGGGAGCGGGTGTGCTGGCTCCAGCCCGCGCCCGCGCCCGCGCCGCTCCCTCGCGGGTATCGGCACCTCGAATCCACGTGATTTCCCAGCAGCTGCCGCCGGCTCTCGGCGCTGGTCCGGCCCCTCTCCGCGCCTACTTTCAGTTTCGTGCGGAGGGCAGAGGAGCGAGGAGCGAGGAGCGAGGAGCGCTGCGGGTGAGTGTCGTGGGGCTGAGCGGCCCGGGACGGGCGTCCCAGGAGCTGGAAGGTTCGGGGCGCGAATGCCGAACAGAGTGGGGCAGAAGGGGATGCTGGGGGCTCTGGTGTGGGAGGCACCAAAGACCGCCTGGTGGGTGACCAGGTGGATGGCTGGGTGCACGGAATAGACAAACTGGTGACTCGATGGGCAGATGAGTCTCCAGGGGCCGGGCAGCGCGCCACCTGCTACCGCGTGGAGTTTGCAGGATGAGTTGTGAGCCGCAGAGGAAGGTAGCTGGGGTCACCCGGGTTGGGGGACTCGAGCCACGGGCTGGGTTTCTTTCATTCCTCCCTACTCTCGAAAGCTCCTGTCACCTCCTGGAGCTTCAACTTGTAGTTGCTTTTCGAAGAATTACAAAAGTCACGCTGCTCTTATGCACGATGCAGACTTTTTAGCCTAAAAAAAAAAGAAAAAAGAAAAAAAAAAGCTTTTCATTATGGACAATTCCAAACGTATACAAAAGTAGAAGGGATAGAATTAGGTGGAGCTGTATGGACTTGCTGATTTTGATACAGCGAAGCCCCGTGTAACACCTCTACACTTCAGCGGTCAGCAATTCAGCGCCGGCCCGTTTCCTTTCGACCACCTCTCATTTTGAAACAAACGGCAGACATCGCAGCATCTCAAGTAGATATTTCAGATGTGCTGAAAGATAAGGAGTCTTTTTAAAACCATAATCACAATACTATCAGCACACTGTACACGTTTTAACAATAATTCCTTAATATCAAACTACACACTATGCTGATGAACATCTTAACCTCATAATAGGTGAATACGTGGGTGTTATTATTTGCTTTTTGCATTTCCATGTCTCTGTCTCTCTGTCTCTGTCTCTCTCCGTCGCTGGGTCTCTGTCTCTGTCTGTCTGTCTGTCTGTTTCTGCCTGTCTGTCTCTCTTTCTCTCTTAGCCAGGACTTGGAGTTTGCTGGGTAGTCATTTGGGGAGGTACAGGAAAGGCTCCTCACTTTCAGCACCACTTGCATCCATTTTATAAGTTGGGGTTCTTACGTTTCCTCTTTGAAAAGTTGGGGGTTTGGTAGACTTAAAACGTAGTTTGAAAACCAGCACTTTTCGGACTCGCAGACCTGTGGGTGGCGGGGGTGGGGCGTACCCTGCACCAACACGTGGAGCCTCATCCCTCCAAATTGCTTTTCCTTGTCTCTAAAAAGCAATAAGCCCAGAAAAGCACTAGGCTAGGTCTTTCGCTGGAGAACAGAGAGGGAGGTAAAGCTGATGTCTTCAAGGTACATCCGGCATGCTTTGCTTAAACCTTACTGAACTATAGCGCTGATTGGCCTTTAGTTATGCCCACCTGCCTTGTCTCTAAACACAGCCTCAGCTTGACAGGTGCCTGACACGGAAGGTAGACAGACTTGGGCTCTCAGCGCCTCGTATTTGCTGGATGAGCATGGACTAACAACAGGCATACCTCAGAGATATTGCAGGTTCCATTCCAGACCGCTGCAATAAAGCAAATACCACAATAATGAGAAGTTTTTGCTCTCCCGGAACATAGAAAAATTATGGTTTGCTATTCTTTAGTCTATGAAGTATGCAGTAACATTATGTCTAAAAACTATACTTGCCTTAATTAAAAAATACTTTATTACTAAAAACTGCTAAGCTTCATCTGAGCCCTCAGCGAGTCGTAATCTTTTTGCTGGCCTTGTCTTAATATTGATGAACATGCAGTATCTGCAGAGCACAATAAAACAGTACGCAATAAAATGAAGTATGCCTGTATTTCATCTCTCAGAACCTCAGTTTCTCATCTGTAAAATGGGGATGATAATATGTCTTTCGAAGCTTGTTTCATGGGTTGGGTGAGATGAGGTGTGAGATACGCCTAGTGCATGGTCAACCTCAAGTACCCTGCAAGCATGAGGAGCGATAGATCTTTGATGAAAGCAGACAAGTGAAAGAGACAGTTCTCTGAAAGTTTCACAATACGCTGAGCCTTGCTCCTTGGCCAGATACAGAGGTGACTGGGTGTGTGCAGGGCCAGGTCAGGCTCCCTACACCCCAACACAAATTCCCCCTTCCCCTCTGAGGAAAATTCAGCAAAACGCCTTAGTATGTCTTTTCCTATCTGTCATGGATTGAACTGTGTCCCTGAGGAAGATAGGTTGAAGTCCCAATCCCTAGTACCTCAGAATGTGGCCTAATTCGCATATGGGGTCAGAGTAGATGTGATTTATTAAGATGAGGTCATGCTAGACCAAGTAGACCCTTCATTCAGTATGGCTGGTGTCCTTTTAAGAGAGGAGATGGGTGTAGGAAGATAGAGATTCGCAGGAAGCATGTCATGTGACAACAGGCAGAGATTGGAATGATATGTGTACAAGTCAAGAACTCCAAGAATTAGCCACAACCACTAGAGGCCCGAAGAGGCAAGGGAGGGTCCTCCCTAGAGATTTTAGAAGGACTAGGGCTCTGCTGACACCTTGATTTCAGACTTCTGGGCTCCAGAACTGCGAGAGAATAAATTCCTGACATTTTAATCCACCCAATTTGTAGTCCTTTCTCAGAGCTGTAACAAAGCTGGTACACTAGTTCATCATCCCAGAATCTCTCCTCTGCCGTTCACACAGAGCCATCCAAAGGATTAAGCAAATTAATCCAAGTGCAAATACTTTGTAAAAACTTTTAGTAGATATACTGAGGATGTAAACTACTGGTTTTCGTTACGGGATTTATTCTTTGAGTGTTGGCTGGTAGCCCAAAGTTTACCTTGGCTGAAGCTCAGTCTGTAAGGAAAACACCTAGATGATTTGAGAGGTAAAAAAAAAAAATCTGAAAAATTGATTCGTCTGGCTATTGGTGCCTCTTTGGCCTCTCAGATTCCCCTGGAGAACATGTCTCTACTAGGTGGAAGTGGCGAGGCAGGCAAGCACCTGGTTATACGTGGGATGTGTTAACCATAAAATAAGCATGATTATGTAATCTACATGCTGTCTGGGGTTTCCTGGGTCCTTGAGAGCTGGGTAAAGTTGACTTGAACCCCCTTCTCATGAATGGTAATATACTGTATATAATTTTTTTAAATCTTTTTTTATTTATTTAATGTAATTTCGAAAGCTTTTCACTTCAAAACAACAACAACAAAAATCTGCCTTTTTTCTTCTTAATGGCTGCATAATATTTCACTGTATGGTTGTTCTAGGGTTGATTTAATTATTGTTGGGTATTTAGGTTGTTTCCTGTTTCTCACTGTTCCAAACGGTGCTGTAATGAATATCCTTGGTCGAGCATCATTTTTGCATCTGTAAGATTAAGTCTTTAAAAAAAACACCCAGGAGTAGATTTGCAAGGTCAAGGGGAATATGCAGGTTGAACTTTCATAAATATAGCAAATTAGCCTTCTTAAGTGTTGTACTAATTTTCACTCTTACATCTTCCCCAATAAACTTTTTTTTTAATTTATTTTTTATGGTGACATTGGTTAATGAAATCTGGTAAGTTTCAGCTATACATTTTAACAGTAAGGCATATATATATTTACATGTGTGTTCACCTCCCATAGCTAGATTTCTTTCTGTCACCACATATTTGACCCCTTTTACCCCGTCTACCTCCCCCCTCCCCCCTTCCTTTACCCTCTGGTAACCACTAGTCTATTGTCCATGACTATGAGTCTCTGTTTGTTTGTCTTGTTCATTTGCCCCTTATCCTCCTCTCGCTTAGCATGATTATCTCAAAGTCCATCCATGTTGTTACAAACAGCAGTATTCCATCTCTTCTTATGTCTGAGTAATATTCCATCATATAGATGTACCACAGCTTCTTCAGCCAGTCATCTGTCGTAGGACACTTTGGTTGCTTCCATGTCCTGGCCACCGTGAATAATGCTGCTATGAACATTGGCATGCAAACATCTTTTTGGATATGAGTTTTCAAGTCTTTGGGGTAAATACCCAGTAGAGGGATTGCTGGATCATATGGTACCCAACAAACTTTTTGTGTTGTCAAACTTTTTTATATTTGCAGACTGGGAGATAAATAATGGTATCTTTTTTTTTTTCTTCATTTCTCTTATCATGAATGAATGGGCATCTTTTCAAATATTTAAAGGTCATTTGGAGTTCCTTTTCCATAAACTGTTCATATTTTTCGCACATTTTTCCATTAGGTTGTTGGTCTTTTTCTTATCGAGCTATAAAAGCACTTTACATATTAAGGAAATTAGCTCTTTGTAATATGAGTATACTGTCATTTTAAGTAGCTGTGTTGTTGTCCATAGAATGACTGAACCACATCCATCTTTGTTAAATGGTTAGAGTGGCTCTCATTTTTCCTACTATATATGGACTGTTTCCTCTGTTTTATATAAAAAACAAGATATGACTTTTTTTTTTTTTATAGCTCTCACCAAATTTCTCTCAGAGAAGGAAATATTTTGGAGAAAATAACTCGATGGGGTTGGGGTGGGCCGGGCCTGTGTGCAAGGTGGTCAGCGTGGACCAGAACATGGCAGCCGAGGGAGCAGACTCCGCAGGGAACACGTGTATGGGGCAGAGGTGCTACATTTGCTTCTTAAAGGAAGGGAGCAGGAGAGAAGAGAGAAGGGAGGAGGCGGAGAAGTAGAGAGAGGCTAGGCCACACGGGGAGAAGACCTCCCCAGAAACTTCTCAGGGGAAGGCTGGCCCAAGGGCAAATTCGGTCCGGTGATGCCACCTGCTCCACGCGAGGTGGGAACTGACAGCACACACGCTGGCTCAGGCCCACCCTGCTGTTGTTAGTCTGCTGGCATGCATCCGCGGAGTGTCTACGACATGCCAGGCCCTGCAGTAGGCACCTAGCTGGATACATGACAAAGTCACCACCCTGTGGAGCTGATGCACCAGCAGACAACAAACAAGTACACAGAGACATGTGGTAGACAGTCAGGTGATGGCGACTGCGGTGAAGAAAGACAAAGCAGGTGATGGGGGAGGTGGAGGCAGGGCCGTCTCCA